CCTCTGCTATTGTGTATATAGTTTGTACTAAGTGACCCATAGGTTGAGGAGGCGGTGACCGTGGCGGTGTAGGTGGAAGCAGTGGTGGAGGATGAGGAGGTAGCCAACACTGTTTTTTTTTTTTATTGTGGTAGTCCCCGAAATATTGGGACATATAAAAAAAGACAACTCTGTTCCCTCAGAGCGACTGACCCATGCGTGCTGCAGCTGAAACTCCACTATCGCCTGCTGCTGCTCGCACAGTTTCTCAAGCATGTGCAAGGTGGAGTTCCACCTTGTGGGCACGTCGCACATGAGGCGGTGAGCAGGAAGGCCAAAGTTACGCTGCAGCGCAGACAGGTGAGCAGCAGCAGGGTGAAAACGCCAAAGGTGCGCACAGCCGCTACAGTGAATGTCACATCCTGTTCCAAGTTGCAGATCAGTCTGGTTATGGCTTCTGGTATCCAGTACTATTTTTACTGAAGCTGCATCATGTCCTGTTATGTGGCTGCACAAACACTGGTGCTCAACACCAGGGGGTGTGCGGTTACCCTGCACCAGACCCTGTTAATCCATTCCACAATGTGACTCCTAACTTCAAATCAGGCATACTGGGTCCCAGTTGTCTGACCATCGCCCAGACAGTGTCTGGGTCCCGATCACCGGACTGCCTTCCTGACTGTGAAACTACGAATGGCTTGTTAAATCTGGTACGATCCCGAACTTTGCAATTCAGGTTCGCTCAACTCTATTATGGATCCTTTGATCGCTACATCTGTTACTTGGATAACTGGTATTTCTCAAGCTAATACATGCCCACGAGCATTAGGGGATGGCCGCTCCGCTCTTATGCTGTGCTGGTGCCTCTGTGCGACCAGCGCCTCTTCCTCCAAACTGCACACGTCACTCACATGACCTTGATTCCATGTAGGGTCTAGGACCTCATCATCCTCCACATCATCTTCCACCCACTCCTCAACCCTTCCCTCCTTGCCGGTATGCACACTGCAGAAAGCAGCTGTTTTTCCAGCATGTAATTTCTGCAAAGGACATATGGGAATTGTTTTAGAATTGTATCCAGGCAACAGTTTTCCATATAAACTGACCTCTCAGTTTGACTTGTGAGGGTATTGTCCCCAAGTTACAATATTGTTATATTGGTATTTGACAGTTCTATTTCACTGTCAGGAAGGAACTGCAGGCCGCAAATGTACTATTTAGCAGTTTAGCACCAAAACAATTAGAATGTTTACAACTGCGCTGAGGGCATACTATTTGATGCTTCATTTTGACTCTCAGATATGAAGAGCACACCCAAAATATACTATTTAGCAGTTTAGCACCAAAACAATTGGAATGTTTACAACTGCGCTGTAAGCGCACTATTTTACGCTTCTATTTGACTCTCAGATATGAAGTGCAGGCTGCAAATGTACTATTTAGCAGTTTAGCACCAAAACAATTGGAATGTTTACAACTGCGCTGTAAGCGCACTATTTGACGCTTCTATTTGACTCTCAGATATGAAGTGCAGGCCACAAATGTACTATTTAGCAGTTTAGCACCCAGAAAATAAGAATGTTTACAATTGCGATGTAACCGCAGGATTTGACGCTTCTATTTGACTCTCAGATATGAAGAGCATGCCTAAAATGTACTATTTAGCACTTTATCAGCAAAACAATTAGAATGTTTACAACTGCACTGTAAGCGCACTATTTGACGCTTAGATATGAAGTGCAGGCTGCAAATGTACTATTTAACAGTTTAGCACCAAAACAATTGGAATGTTTACAATTGCGCTGTAACCGCAGTATTTGACGCTTCTATTTGACTCTCAGATATGAAGAGCATGCCCAAAATGTACTATTTAGCACTTTAGCAGCAAAACAATTAGAATGTTTAAAACTGCGCTGTAACCACACTATTTGACACTTCTATTTGACTCTCAGATATGAAGTGCAGGCTGCAAATGTACTATTTAGCAGTTTAGCACCAAAACAATTGGAATGTTTACAACTGCGCTGTAAGCGCACTATTTGACGCTTCTATTTGACTCTCAGATATGAAGTGCGGGCCACAAATGTACTGTTTAGCACCCAGAAAATAAGAATGTTTACAATTGCGATGTAACCGCAGGATTTGACGCTTCTATTTGACTCTCAGATATGAAGAGCATGCCTAAAATGTACTATTTAGCACTTTATCAGCAAAACAATTAGAATGTTTACAACTGCACTGTAAGCGCACTATTTGACGCTTATATATGAAGTGCAGGCTGCAAATGTACTATTTAACAGTTTAGCACCAAAACAATTGGAATGTTTACAATTGCGCTGTAACCGCAGTATTTGACGCTTCTATTTGACTTTCAGATATGAAGAGCATGCCCAAAATGTACTATTTGTCAGGATCGTGACAGGGATCCAACACGCAGAATACAAACAGGGGATAGGTACGTATACCGGACCTTAGAATGGCCGGACTAACGTAAGGAGAAAGCAAAAGAATAGTCAGATACAAGCCGAGGTCGAGGGAACGAGAGATCAGGTAAGCGAGAGACAAGCCGAGTCAAAAGGACAAGAGAGGAAAGCAGGGTCAAAATACAAGCCGAGTCAGGAACCAAAAGACAATAGAGGTAATTGCACTGAGTGACCAGACTAGCTAGAACCACGACAGGGCAATGAATCATTCCACAGAACCCTTTTTTATACCTTGGCTCTTTAACTGTTGGCTCCGCCCCCAACGGGTCCTGATTGGTTGTTCGGCACTTGGTTGCCGTGATTGACGGGTCGGAACGTGATTGCCGTCATGACGTCGGCTACTGAGCGCCGCGTCATAAAAGGAGGCGGAGCTATCGCGGCCGGCGTGTAAACGACCGGGAGGAGTGCAAGGATCGGGTGAGTCAGCCCCCCTGGGAGGATGGACGCCTAGGTGTCTAACCTCCTCCGAGGTAGACACCAAAGGTACCCTGACAGTACCCCCCCTCTCAGAAACGCCCACCGGGCGGAAGGAACCGGGGCGGAACGGAAAACGAGCATGAAATGCCCGGAGGAGACGAGGGGCATGCACATTTTCATGGACCACCCAAGACCTTTCTTCAGGCCCATACCCCTTCCAGTCAACAAGATATTGCAACTTCCCCCGAGAAATACGAGAATCGAGAATGGATTTGATTTCATATTCCTCCCGACCCTCAACCTGGACAGCGAGAGGGGAGGACTCAGGGGAGGAAAATCTGTTGCAAACCAAAGGCTTCAATAAAGAAACATGAAAAGAGTTAGGGATGCGCAGGGCAGGCGGAAGGGCAAGACGATATGCAACCGGGTTAATCCGACACAGAACCTTGTAAGGGCCTATGTAACGAGGGGCAAATTTCATGGAAGGAACCTTCAAGCGGATGTTTCTGGTACTCAACCACACCCTATCACCCGGGGCAAAAACCGGAGCCACCCGTCTCCGTTTGTCAGCGTGTCGTTTGAACACCATGGAATTCTGAAGAAGAATTCGTCGAGTCTGATCCCACAACTTTCTCAGATTGGCGACATGAACATCAACCGACGGAACCCCTTGGGAAGGGGAAACCGACGGAAGAATGGAAGGATGAAAGCCATAATTCAAGAAAAAGGGGCTAGAACGAGTAGAATCACAAACGAGATTGTTGTGTGCAAACTCTGCCCAAGGAATCAGACCAACCCAATCGTCCTGGTGTTCAGAAACAAAACAACGCAAATATTGTTCAATCTTTTGGTTGGTGCGTTCGGCAGCTCCGTTGGACTGGGGATGATAGGCAGAGGAGAAGTTCAACTTGATGCCTAAGTGAGAACAGAAAGACTTCCAAAAGCTGGAAACAAATTGGGAACCTCTATCAGAAACAATTTCAGAGGGAATACCATGTAGACGAAAAATCTCCCTCGCGAATATCTCAGCTAATTCGGGAGACGAGGGCAGTTTAGGCAAGGGCACGAAATGAGCCATTTTAGTAAACCTGTCAATCACCGTGAGAATAACAGTATGTTTTTTAGAAACAGGCAAATCGACAATGAAATCCATAGCCAAACACGACCATGGTCTCTCGGGAATTTCTAAGGGATGCAAAAGTCCACAAGGGAGCGCGTGAGGTTGCTTAGTCTTCATACAGACAGCACATGCCCCGACGAAATCCCTTATATCCTTACGAAGGGAAGGCCACCAGAAATCTTTAGAAATCAGGGAACACGTTTTGCGTATGCCGGGGTGCCCAGCAATTTTACTGTCATGAAAGCAATGCAGCAGTTCCACTTGGAGCTCAGGAGGAACGAAGTATCGATCCCCAGGAACAGGTTTGGGAGCTAGATGTTGTACTTTCTTGATCTCAGCAAGCAACGGCGAGTGTATCCTGACACAAGTGTTGGCAATAATATTACACTTAGGAACGATAGAAGACAAAGCTGCTTCAGACACCGTAGAGGGTTCATGTTGACGGGACAATGCATCTGCCTTAGAGTTCTTAGAACCAGGTCTATAAGTGAGCACGTAATTGAAATGTGTCAGAAACAAGGACCAACGAGCTTGCCTGGTGGACAAGCGCTTGGCCTCCCCTATGTAGGACAAATTCTTGTGATCAGTCAAAATAGTAACCGGGTATAATGTCCCCTCCAACAAATGTCTCCATTCCTTTAAAGCCATAATGACCGCTAACAGTTCCCTATCACCAATGTCATATCTACTTTCAGGCCCAGATAATTTCTTGGAAAAAAAACCACAAGGATGTAACGGTTTATCCAAACCTAGCCTTTGGGACAAGATAGCGCCTATACCTGTCTCCGAGGCGTCAACCTCGAGTAAAAAAGGCAAAGATGTGTCAGGATGAACTAATATCGGTGCTGAGGCAAAATGTTCCTTGAGAGTTTTGAAAGCAGAGAGAGCCTCTGTGGACCAAGTCTTGGTATCAGCCCCTGTCTAGTCATATTAGTAATAGGAGCAATAATAGAAGAGTAACCTTTAATGAAGCGCCTATAATAATTGGAAAATCCGATAAATCTCTGAATGGCCTTGAGTCCCCTGGGCAATGGCCAATCTAAAATCGATTGGAGTTTAATGGGGTCCATCCTAAATCCGCCTCCAGAAATAACGTAGCCAAGAAAGTTTATCTGAGATTGGTCGAAGCTACACTTTTCCAATTTGCAGTACAATCCATGTTGTAACAGTTTGCGCAGTACCCTTCTGACTTGTCTGTGGTGAGTCTCAATTTCTCTAGAGTGTATTAGTATATCATCCAAATATACTATAACGCATTCATGCTGAAATTCCCTAAGAACCTCATTAATAAGGTCCTGGAATACTGCAGGTGTATTGCAAAGCCCGAAGGGCATTACCGTGTATTCATAGTGGCCATAACGGGTATTGAAAGCTGTTTTCCATTCGTCTCCCTGCTGAATTCTCACCAAGTTATAAACTCCCCTCAAATCTAACTTGGTAAAAATCTTGGAGCCTTTCAGTCGATCAAAGAGCTCAGTAATTAAAGGAATAGGATAAGCATTTCTAACAGTTATCTTATTCAAGCCCCGATAATCAATGCAAGGCCGTAGAGTGCCGTCTTTTTTATCTACAAAAAAGAAACCGGCCCCGGCCGGAGAAGATGATCTCCTAATAAAACCTTTGTCTAGGTTTTCACGTATGTACTCCTCTAGGACTAAGTTTTCCTTAGTGGATAAAGGATATACCGTACCCCTCGGAGGCATAGTACCAGGTAGGAGTCTAATTTTACAGTCGAAAGACCTATGTGGAGGTAAAGTATCAGCCCTCTTTTTGTCAAAGACTGCCTTTAAATCCTGGTACTGTGATGGTATCTGTAAATCTGTAGGTTGGGAAGAGTTAACCGGGGCGTCAACCCTGCAAATTGGTGAGACTTTCTGCACACATCCCTTCTGGCAACCCTGACCCCAGGAGACTATCTCACCCAGTTCCCAGTCAATGATAGGGTTATGCTTCTTAAGCCAGGGATACCCCAAGACTATAGGAACTGAAGGAGATGAGATCAGCATGAGGGATATTCTTTCCTCGTGAAGGATACCAGTGGTTAACTTAATTGGTATGGTTTCACGAAAAATCACAGGTTCAGATAATGGTCTACCATCTATGGCCTCAACGGCCAAGGGTGTATCCCTTAGCTGAGATGGGATAGAATGGTTAGTGACAAAGGTTTGGTCAATAAAGCTTTCAGCTGCTCCGGAATCTATCAAAGCCATAGCATTAAGTACTCCCTTTTCCCAAGCTAAAGAAACAGGTATCAGAAGCCTATGATCTTTGTAATCATAAATAGAGGACAAGATAGAAACACCCAAGGCCTGTCCTCTTGAGAAACTTAGGTGCGAGCGTTTCCCGGCCGGTTAGGGCAATTTAGGCGTAGGTGACCTCTAATTCCGCAATACATACAAAGACCCTCCCTTCTCCTGTACTGTCTTTCCTCCTCTGAGAGTCGAGTATGACCTATTTGCATAGGTTCTGGGAGAGCTAAAGTAGTAGAATCAGAAGTCTGAAATGAGGGAGCTAGTCTTATGGAGGATCTGCGGGTTCTATCCCTAATATTCTGCCTCTGTCTCATACGTTCATCTATTCGGGAAATAAATGAAATCAGATCCTCCAAATTTTCAGGAAGATCTCTTGTGGCCACCTCATCTAAAATCTCATCAGATAACCCGTTCATAAATACGTCCATATAAGCCTGTTCATTCCACTTGACCTCTGCCGCCAAGGATCTGAACTCCAAAGCATAATCCACTAGGGTTCGGTTATACTGTCTAAGACGTAACAGTAGTCTAGCTGCATTGGCCTTTCTTCCTGGAGGGTCAAAAGCTCTCCTAAATGCAGCGACAAAAGCATTATAATTATAAACTAACGGGTTATCATTCTCCCACAGGGGGTTAGCCCATCTAAGTGCCTTGTCAATGAGCAAGGTAATTATAAATCCAACCTTTGCCCTGTCAGTAGGGTAGGCGTGGGGTTGTAATTCAAAATGAATACCTATCTGGTTTAAAAACCCTCGACAAGTGTCAGGAGCGCCGCCATAGCGTGACGGGGACGTAACACGGGAAGAAGTAGCCACTGTGGCTACCTCTAGGCCTGTACTTATAGGAGAGATAGATGGGGTACGCATCTCCTCTGAGTGACCACTAGGACGAGATAGCAATGCTTGCAGAGCTAGAGCCATCTGGTCCATTCTATGATCCATGGCCTCAAATCTAGAGTCAGGAGAACCGACCTGAGAGTTTGTACCTGCAGGATCCATTGGCCCTGTTGTAATGTCAGGATCGTGACAGGGATCCAACACGCAGAATACAAACAGGAGATAGGTACGTATACCCGACCTTAGAATGGCCGGACTAACGTAAGGAGAAAGCAAAAGAATGGTCAGAGACAAGCCGAGGTCGAGGGAACGAGAGATTAGGTAAGCGAGAGACAAGCCGAGTCAAAAGGACAAGAGAGTAAAGCAGGGTCAAAAATACAAGCCGAGTCAGGAACCAAAAGACAATAGAGGAAAGTGCACTGAGTGACCAGACTAGCTAGAACCACGACAGGGCAATG